GCAGTACTGATGCAGGATCACGGACGTGGTTTGCAGCCCATCGCCTACCTCAGTAAGAAGCTACACGGAGCAGAACTGAATTACCCAATCCATGACAAGGAAGCCTTAGCGATAGTCATAGCCTTCAAGGCGTGGAGGTGTTACATAGAGGGAGCCAAGACTACAGTTTACACTGACCACTACAGCCTCAAATACCTGAAGTCGCAGCCGACACTCTCACGACGACAGGTGCGGTGGGTGGACTTCCTGGAAACCCACTTCCATTACGACATCGTCTACAAACCCGGGCTACACAACAAGGCAGACGCGTTGAGCCGCCCCGGACATGTAGCAGGCATCCAGCTCGACAGGATGAACCCTCAGCTGTCGGAAATTCCCGACCTGTCTCTCCTCGCTCGTTACTGCTGCTCTCTCCTGCAGGTCTCTGCTTGGTGCCTCCCTGTGGTACTCTTTGTTGACCTCTTCTCAGCTGCTGCTGCACTGCTGGGCTCCTGATTGACTGCTGCATTGTGTGCTACATGTCACGGGACTTCCTGACGATATCCCACTTGCCCCCTCTGGAACAGGCTAAGGCTCCTGCTCGCGCTGGTCCAGACCATTCACACTCCTGGATCGCACTTGTGCTGTGTTCGTCGTGTGGTCCTGCACCCTTCTCCCCTGCTGATTCTCCAACACCACCACGCCAGACTCTTGCACCTCCACCACCTTCCAGCACTCCTCGCTGAGGCCACGATCTAACGTATGCTGCCTTGCCGTCCTGCGGTACACCTCCTGTCCTGCTTGCAGCTGCCCTCCGCACGCGGGCCACTGTCCTCCGCGCCTCCGCTGGTACCTGTGAGCATCTCGCAGCTGCGCCACGTGGAGATTCTTCAGTGCTGACGGCAGGAGCGATCGCAGGTAGTCTCCCCTGGTCTTGGCCAGCGCCGCCCACAACTCTGGTGTTCCCGCAGTCACTACTTCCGTCAGCACCTTGGGCGCTCCCACCGGCAGGATGGGCTCCCTGCCGTACAGCAAATAGTACGGGGACACATCTCGCAGTGCTGCCTGCTTGCTGAAACGATAACCTGCCGCGACCCAGTGGAGGTCCTCGTCCCAGCTGCGCTTGTGCGCCTCTCCGTATGCCCTGAGTCCTCGCTTCAGCGTCTGCACCATGCGCTCTGTGAGACCGTCAGCTTGCGGGTGATACCGTGAGGTCCTCCTGTGCGTGATCCCGATGGCCGTCAGCGCCTTGTCGAACTCCCCACGGAACTCCGTGCCCTGATCCGTGAGCACCTCCCCACATGCCCCCATCCTGGTGAGTACTTGCTCTGTAAATGCCTCCGTAACCAGGGCCGCGTTCTTGCTGCTCAGTGCGCGCACCTCCACCCACTTGCTCACGTGCTCGATCATTACTAGTATGTACCGCTTCCCTCGCCGGCTGAGGGGCAGCTCTCCCGCCAAGTCCAACGACCAGCGGTAGCCCAGCCCGCGGATGGGTAAGGACTGCAGCTCCTGCTGGCTTCTTTCCAGCTGGGCCCTGTTGCGGTCGCATGCTTCACACTGCGCCACGTGCTCCCTGATTTGCTGCGCCATGCATGCCCACCACCAGCCTGTGTTCACCAGCTGGGTTGTCCTGACGTGCCCGTAGTGCCCGAGCTGCCGGTGAACCCTGTTGATGATGCCCTCCCTCTCGGCCGGCGCAGGTACCAGCTTCCACCCTTCCTTGGTCCTCAGTTGCACCTGCCCCGCGTACCACCTGTAATGCTGTCCTCTTGCCCGAGCTCTCTCTGATGCTGGTTCGTCTGCCTCCGTCTCTCCCCGCAGCCACCTGAGTGTCTCCTCGGTCTGGGCAGCTCCTATGAAGGGGAAGGTCTGCCGCCAGGCCTTCCCCTTCATAGGAGCTGTAATTCGCTTCCGCCGCGTTGCAGCTGCGGCTCGCGAAGGCCACCACCCTCTCTCCTTGCTCCGTCTGCTGGCAGAGCACCGCCCCCATGCCCGCGCTGCTCCAGTCCGTGTACAGCACGAACCTGGCCTCTGGCTTCGGTAGCAGCAGCATCGGTCCGGACTTCACCCCTTCCAGCAGGTCTCGTAATGCCCCCTGCTCGGCCTCTCCCCACTTCCACGCCACATCCTCCCTAAGCAGTCGGTTGAGGTTCGCCGCCCGCTTGCTGAAGTTGGGCACAAACTTACGATAATAGTTCAAGAAGCCCAGAATTGTTCTCAGCGCGGAGCGGCTGTCTGGGACCGCCAACTTATCCAGCACCGCGACTTTCGCCTCCTGGATTGTCATCTGCCCTCCGCACACTTCGAATCCCAGGTACCGCACTGTATTTGTGCCGAAACGGCACTTCTTGGGGTGACACGTGAGTCCTGCTCCCCTGATGGCCTCTAGGACCTGCTGGACGTCCTTCACATGCTGCTCGGGTGAGGAACTGAAAACCACCACATCGTCTATGTAGCAGGCCGCGCAATGCTGCAGCCCCCTTAACACCCGATCCATCGCCTTCTGAAACACTGCAGATGCGTTCTTCAGCCCGAAAGGCATGAACAGCCACTCATACAGTCCGTCTGGCCCATGAAAAGCAGTCTTCCTGACATCCGCCTCCACGATGCGGATCTGGTTGAAACCTTGGCGGAGGTCGAGCGTGCTGAAAATCACAGCTCCGTACAATTTGTCGAAGATCTCTTCCGGGGTTGGCATGTGGTAGCGATTCGCCACAGTCAGCTTATTGAGGTCTCGATAGTCGCCGCACATGCGCCGCGAGAGCACCTCGCCCGTGAGTTCTGTCCTCGCTGCCACCACTGTAGCTGCCGCGTACTCTGATTCTGAGGGCATGATGAGCCCTGCTTCCAGCAGTTCCCGACACTTCTCTTTGCACACGTCAAGATCTCCTGGGCTCATGCGGCGCTTCCGCTGGTATACTGGCACTTCTTCTGTCAGCCGAATTTCCATCTCTCCCCCGTTGTACTTGCCGAGCTCTAGTAGCGTGAAGGCGAATGCCTGCCGGTTCTTCCTCAAGACCAACCACATCTGCTCTCGGAGGTCTCCAACCAGTCCTTCTCCTACTTCCCACGTCTCTTCTCCCTCCCCCGCTGGCTGGCCTGCTGCCGAGGCTCCCATGATCTCTGTCTGCGCCCCTGGTTCCGCCGCCGCTACTGGCTCCTGCCGCTCTGGGCTCGTCATGGTCTCCTCTGCCTCCCTTGGTGCCGTTGGGTCACTGGTTGCTGCTACTCCTTCGTCTGCCGGTAGTGCCCCCTGCGCCATCAGTGCCCACCCTCTCTCCCTTTGCTGCTGCTTCTCGACCTGCATCTCGAGTAGCAGCTGCCCTCGGCCCGCACCTCCGCTTCATTTGAGTCTCCCGGTCCTCCCACTTCCATTTCCATCTCCAACTGTTCCGAGGCGAGGTGCGTCTGTATCACATGCACCAGCCAGTGCACCGCTTCCACATCCATCGCTCGCCCAAGCGCTTCTCTCCGCTTTGCTTCCTCCACCCCTGATGCTGCCGTGGCATCTGGCACGAAGCCCATTGCCAGCTCTCTCTCGCGTGCTGTCGGTTCTTCCCAGCGATCCTTCAGGCGGTCATACACCATGCCCGGGCCTGGCAGCCCCTCGCTCCACACAAAGCCGTGCGCTTGATGATGTGCCATGAGAGTTGGCCATGCTTCTCTCGGCAGCCCGGGCTCGGTGCACTGGAATTGACTCGGGTGGTCTGGCTTCACCACCGGAGCGGGCTCCCGATGCGCTTCTAGGATGTCCTCCACAGGACGCGGCGAAGGCCTCTCGGTTTGGATGAGCTCCCACCTGAGCCTTCCTTCCGACACTCCGTTCTGCCAGTATCGCCTGACTCGGTGTGCGTATGACCCTTGCTGTACAGCGTCCCATGCCACTCCTGGTCCTAGAGCTGCCGCCACCACTTCCATCATGCGCCGCACCGGCTCCCTGCAGTCGGTCGAGAAATCCGGGTTCTCCAGGATGTACAGATACTCCCCGTGCTGCTGGTAGATCAGCTTCATCACACGAAGCAGCTCCAAGAAGAGCGTGGACCTTGGGTCATCCAGTCCCTTACCCTTCCCGGCCCGGGACACCCCTTGGCACTCCCAGCCAGCCACAAGCAGGTCAACCCTTCCCCACCGGTGCACATCCTCTGCAGCCACTTCCCTGATGTCGTTGATGAGTTCTTCGTCTGCCTCCGCCTCCACTCCTGACAACATCTGCGTCGGGTAAATACCCCGCAGCTTCCTTGCATGGTTGAAGGCCATCCTACGCACCACCGGGTCCAACTCCACCAGCACCCACTTCTTCACCTTGCATCCTGCCTTCAGCGCCGCAGCCAGCCCGGTGCCAATCCCGCCGAACAATTCCACGATGGTGATTGGCTCCTGCATGCGGGTGAGGTCTGTCATTCGTGGGGGCAGGGCAAGTGGCCGCTCTGCCTGCTCTTCTTCCACCCTGCGTGTCTCTCGTTCTAGGACATACTGCTTCCAGGACCAGTCCTCTATCTGCTCCTCCACCTCCGCCATTCGTGCTCGGAAGGCCTCCCTTGGCTCTCTCCGTACGAAATGCATCGGCAGTGTGCCCACGGGTCCGTCATCTCTCCAGTACTGTGCACGATAGAGCACCTTCTCTTGCCAGGTGCAGATGGTGGCGCCCACTTGGTATAACAGCTCCATGCCTATTAGTAAGTCGAAGTCCTCTGACGGCGAGATGCCGCACCGCATTCGTATCCTGCACTCGTCCTTAGTGCTCGGCCGGAGGATCACCTCCACTGGCATGCGCGTGCAGGGCATCCACTTGGGCTCCCCGCCCTCCGCGGTCATGACTAATATGCCCCGCGTGATAAGCCGATTCGGCTGATCCAGTTCCAACCTCTGGGCCAGCCCCTTTCCCAAGAGGATGTGGTGAGCCCCAGTATCAATAATTGCCTGCGCCACCATCACTCCTCCCACTGTGATGGCCCCTTTTTCAATCGTCAGGACGGACGGCTGGCACACCATGCGCTCCTTGGGGTGTCTCTCAGACGTCATCTCCTGCTCTGGCTCTGCCGCATACCCACGAAACCGCCTCACCCTTAGCGCCGGCTGCTGTCTCCTCTCCGCTCGATCACTTCTGAGGTCTATCTCGTCTCGCTGCCGCGGGGCTCGGACCATGAGCATGAACTCCGCCTCACTGCCCCCTTCCTCTTCTTCCCTGGCCAGCATGGCGGGCTCCTTCCGGGCCGCGCCTTCCAGTTCCTGGATCCTCGCTTGCAGCACCCGGAGCTGTGCCTCCAGATCTTCTTTATTTCTCGGCCCCGCCGACCCTGGCCTCCGGCTGTAGCAGTCCGAAGTGCGATGTCCTCGCCTCCCGCAATTTTCGCACGTAGGGATTTCAGGGCAATCTCGGCGGAGATGCCCTTCTGCCTGGCAGTGATCGCACCGTGGAGGCCTAATGCAATCGCGCTGCAGGTGTCCCTCCTGTCCGCACCGATGACATCTCCGAGTCTCTGCTTCCCGTGGGCCACGCCTGCTGGAGGATTCCCCTGTCGCTACCGCCGCCCAGGCTGGCTTGCGGCGCTCCTCGGAGTGCATGACACCCCTCTCCATCTCGTAGAGGCGGAGCCCGATCTCATGCTTCTTCGCCAGCTCGTACGCGTGCTCCAGTGTGGCTGAGGGTCCCAGTTCGAACACGCTGCTCCTCACGTCCCCAGCCACGCGCTCGTCCACGCAGTTCAGGAACTTGGAGACCAACCTCCACTCATCCCGGCATTCCATGTCCGCCGCGAGCTCCCGCAGCCTGCCGTACGTCGCCAGCAGAGATTCCCCCGACTTCCTCTTAAAGGACGCGAACTCCCTCATCCGCTCTGGCATCTGCACGGGGAAGTGCCACTTTAGCGTTTCGAAGAAGTGCGACACCACGTCCCACGTCACTCCGTTAGCTTGCACGGGTTCGCTTAGCATGCGTTCTAGCTCCATGGCGTATGCCGTCTCCGCTTCTCCTATCACTGTTGGAGTAGGCTAGTGCTCGCTCTGGCATTTATCATGGTGTTCCTTTGTTATTTCACCATGCTTAGAGCGAGTTACACCTCCGGTTCAGTTTAGGTTCATTTAATAGTTTCTAGCACAAACTGAACACACCCTAAGTTCAATTAGGGTTTCCTACTTTTGTCTCTCGACACTTTTTCCTAATCAATTTCTTCAACCTATCTTCCTAGCCATGGCTACCACTCCTATATTAACATGGTATACAGAGCCTAATCCTTGGCGTTTTCTGCTTATTTACATCTCTTAGGACGCTTTAGACCTTAGGCATCCGGGGCGCCACCTCCCACTCAGTGTAGATTTTTCGTTTCCCTTCCATCTCGACCCTCGATTTTCTCTTTGTTTCCCTCATTATTTAAACTCGCGGACCCCCTTTTCCATCCCCCGAGTCCTCCCTACCCCGTCGCGCGCCTCGTCGCTCAGTCGCACGCCATCTCCCCTCGTCGCGCGCGCCCTGCCCTGCCCTCCCGTCGTACGTCCTGCCCTCCCGTAGCCCGCAAGCGCCCTCCCTCTGCCGTCGCGCGCGCGCCCTGACTGCCGACGTCGCGCGCGCGCGCCTTGTTCACCGCCGTCGCGCGCGCACAGTCTGCCCGCCGCCGTCACTCTCCCCGCCGCCCATTCTCTCCTTTCCGCGGCCGCCCTCCCTCCCCCCCCCCCCTTTTTTTTCGCGGACATTTTCCTCTCCCCTCGTGGTGCGCCGAACCCTCCTTCCTTCCCCCCCTTCTCCTGCCTCCTTCGCACCACCTCTTTCCTCTCCGCTCAGCACACCCACCTCTTCCACTCCTCCCCCTCTCTTCTCTCCTCCCCCCCTTTCGTGCTCCTCCTCCATTCCTCCACTCTCCTCTGTGCGTCAAGCACCACCTCACCTCTTCCTCCTCCTATTTTCTCTCCATATCTACTACCCTTTCATACCATCCGCCCCTTCACCCTCCTCCTCCTCTCCTCTCTCCCTTCATTCCCCTCCCGATCTCCCTCTCTCCTCCGCCTCTCTCCTCTCGTCTACTGCTGCAGCTGGCTGCCGGCCTTGCTTCGTACCCGTGCTCTGTCCCCACTGTGTCCCTCCTCCTCTTATTTCTCCCCTCAGCGGCGCAGCAGCAGACTACTCCGCCATTGTCCCTCCTCCTCTTATATCTCCCCTCAGCGGCGCAGCAGCAGACTACTCCGCCATTGTCCCTCCTCCTCTTATACCTCCCCTCAGCGGCGCAGCAGCAGACTACTCCGCCATCATCCCTCCTCCTCTTATTTCTCCCCTCAGCGGCGCAGCAGCAGACTACTCCGCCATTGTCCCTCCTCCTCTTATTTCTCCCCTCAGCGGCGCAGCAGCAGACTACTCCGCCATCATCCCTCCTCCTCTTATTTCTCCCCTCAGCGGCGCGGCAGCAGACTACTCCGCCATCATCCCTCCTCCTCTTATTTCTCCCCTCAGCGGCGCGGCAGCAGACTACTCCGCCGCTATCCCTCCTCCTCTTATGTCTCCCCTCAACGGCTCAGCAGCTGACTACCTCGTCGAAATTCCTCCTCCTCTTTTATCTCCCCCCCAACTGCTCCATTGCCATCCCCTTCCTCAGATGGGGCCTATTCTCGCTCTTACCCCTCCTCCTCTGCGCTTCCGCCCTCACCCGTCTCCTGCGGTACCTCCTCTCCTACCCTTGCCTTCCCTACTCTCCGCCCCTTTCGCTGCCCCGTCCTTCCCTTGCGCCTCTCCTCCTTGCCGCTGGACCCCCCCTCTTCTCCGCCCCTCTGCTTGGAGTCCGCTGTTCCATCAACGTCGCCGCTCTTGTGTCGTTGTCACCTCTGGTATTGGTTCTCTGGCCTCTGTCTTCAGTGTGACCCTGCCATCTCAGGATAGCATCCTTGGTGCTTCTCCCCTTATGGACCCTCGTTTTGTCGTTCCACTTTCTCCACCCGTTCCAAGCGCTGTCTCTCACTCTCCTAGCCCTACGGCTGCCGCTCTCTCACTTCCTCGCACCTTGGAGTTTGTCCTTGACAGTGCTGCTACTGATTCTGTCTTTCGCGATGCTGGTGTCCTTCGCCATTTTCCTCGTCCCCTCTCTATTCATGGGGCTGGGGAGACCATGACCATGATCTGTACTGGCACTTCATCTCTTCCTTGTCCTGCCTCTCCCTCTGGCGCTGTCACTGGCCTTTACGTTCCCTCTTGCCGTCATAACCTCCTCTCTCTCCCTACCCTCCAACGCCTAGGTGTGCGGGCACTCTTTCCCGCCGGTGAACTCTTTTGTGATCTTCATTACCGCGACCGGCACCTTGCTCGTTTCACCCTTTCTCCTGTCACTCACCTCTACACCCTTCGTGTTCCCCTCCCCTCATCCGTCCATCACACCTCTTCTTCCTCTGCCCCTCCCGTCTCCACTTGCGACTGTCGCTCTCTCACCCAACCTACCCTTCTTCTTCATCATCGTCTTGGCCACCCCAACTTCCCTCTCCTTCGCAGCATGGTCACTTCGAAGCTGCTTCATGATCTCCCTCCCTCTCTCCCGCCCCTTCCCCCCTCTCCCGCTCCTCCATGCACCCCTTGTGTCCAAGCCAAGCTCTCTCAATCTCCTCATCCTTCTTCCCCTTCTGCCTCCCCCAAACCACTTGATCTTGTGCATATGGACCTCTGGGGTCCATCTCCCATTGCCTCCCGCCAAGGTCATCGTTACTTTCTCCTTCTTGTCGATGACCACTCTCGCTTTGCCTCTGTTTATCCCCTCCGTGCCAAATCTGACGCCCCCTCTCTCATCATTTGCTGGGCTGAGCATGCGCGCCTTCGCTTTGGTCGTCCTGTCGCCCGCTTCCACTCTGATGGTGGTGGCGAGTTCTTTAACCACTCTCTCCTTTCTTACTGCTCCTCTCATGGCATTCGCCAGACCTCCACCCTCCCGCATTCTCCTGAACAGAATGGTGTTGCCGAGCGTCGTATTCGCACTCTCATGGAGATCACCCGTTGTCTCCTTACTCATGCTTCTGCTCCACACTCCCTTTGGAGCTACGCTCTTGTTCATGCCACTCTTCTTTCCAACCTTCGCCCCCATCCTCTTCGCCCTTCCATTACTCCCTTCCAGCTCTGGACTGGCCGCCAGCCCTCCGCCCGCCCTCTTCGGGTGTGGGGCTGTGTCGCTCATGTCCTTATCAATCCCGCCGATCGAGCACGTCAGGGTGGGAAGCTCGCTCCCAAGACGCAGCTCTGTGCGTTCATTGGTATCAATGCTGACTGTCCTGGCTATCTTTTCTATGCTCCCTCCTCTCAGCAGCTCATTCGCAGCCAGGATGTTATCTTTGATGAGACTCGTTCTCCATTCCTCGCCCCCCCTCCCACCCCTCCTCCTCCCTCTCTTCATTGGTCTGACTTTGACCCGCTACCCTCCGCTGCTCCCTCTCCTTCTCCACTTCCTCCTCCCCCTGCTCCGCCTCCCCTCCTTGCCCTCTCCACTCCCCCCTCTGCTATCATCTCCGGCTCCTCTCCTCCTCCCTCTTGCTCCTCTACTCCCCTGCCCTTTCCTTCCCCACCTCCTTCTGCTCCTCTTCCTTCTCCTTCTGCTCCTCCACCTTCACCGCGTCTCACCCGCTCCATGACCCGTGCTATGTCCAATTTTCAACACTCTGCTCTCTTTACTCGTCTCTCTCCCTCTCCAAACGTCGATCTTCTCGAGGATCGCTTTGAGGAGCTGTTCTCCATTCATCCTGTTTCACCCCTCCTCTGTGTCACCATTGGCGATTTCTCCAATTCTCCCACTCTTCTCTCCGTTGACACTGCCGCTATTCCCACCCCTCAGACCTACTCCGAGGCCGTGTCTGGCTTTCATGCAACTGAGTGGATGGCTGCCATCATTGCCGAGTGTGAGGCATTCACCCGAACTCAATCTTACGTTGACTCTGTCCCCCCCCCTGGCGCCACCATTGTCAAGGGCAAATGGGTCTTTCGTGTCAAGCAGCTGCCTGGGGAGCTCCCTGTCTTCAAAGCTCGTTACTGCGCCAAAGGTTTCACCCAACGTGAAGGCATTGACTACTTTGCCACTTACTCTCCCACTGCCCGTCTCCCCACTCTTCGCCTCCTTCTTGATCTAGGCGCCCGTTGGGATTGGGAGATTCACTCCATGGATGTCTCCAATGCCTTTCTCCAGGGCGAGCTTCATGAACGCATTTTTCTTGAGCGCCCCGCTGGTTTCCCTCGCCCGTTCCCTCCAGGAACTGTCTGGGAGCTGAAGCGCCCAGTCTATGGTCTTAAACAAGCCCCCCGCGAGTGGCACGCTAAGCTCGCCTCCACTCTTCACTCTCTTGGCTTCTCTACCTCTTCTTCCGACCCCAGTCTCTTCATTCGCACCTCCCCCCACAGGCTTTACATTCTTGCATACGTCGATGACTTGGTGCTCCTCGCTGAAGATTCTGCCGACCTTGCCGCTGTCAAGCAGGCCCTCCAGGCGCGTCTCCTGTGCAAGGATCTTGGCGAGCTTCGTCATTACCTCGGCATGGAGATCCGTCGTAATCGTGCTGCCCGCACCATCTCTCTCTCTCAATCCTTCTACATCCACTCCATTCTTGAGCGTTTTGAAATGTCGCAAGCGAAGCCTGTTTCCACTCCTCTTCCCGCTAACCATCAGCTTACCGCCCCTGCTGTTCCCGCTCCCTCCTCAGAACTGCGACCTTATCCTGAGCTCGTTGGGTCCCTCATGTATGCTATGATGTGCACTCGCCCCGATCTTGCTTACCCCCTCAGTGTTCTCTCTCGTTTTGTTGGCCTTGGTCGCCACACTGACGTGCACTGGGCGGCTGCCAAGCGTGTTCTCCGCTATCTCCGCGCTACCTCTGATCTTGCACTCACTCTTGGTGGCTCTTCCCCCCCCGTTCTTTCCGGTTACAGTGATTCCTCCTATGCTGATTCTCGCCCTGATCGCCGCTCCTCCCAGGGTTATGGTTTCACTCTTGGCAGTGGC